CAGGTGACGACTGTTTTTTTATTTTTAGACTATTAAGGTGTTTCTTTATGACACTGATAGATACAGGACTAAAATTGAACTTGTCTATACTGGGTATTTGCACATTTAGTGGGGCCTGATCCACATTTGTAGTTTTAGGATCAGTGACATTTATTAGCTTGGCAGTCAGGGTGGTGGAGCATCTGACAAAATAATTGTTAAAGGCATTTGCTACATCTAAGGGAAGTTGCAGGGTTTGGTTGTCCACTTTTACAGTGGAGGGTTGGGAGTTGATTGGGGAAGTTTGTAAGTTATTTATGAGTTTCCAAAAGTTTCTAGGGTTTGAAATGTTATTGTTCAGATTTTCACAGAAATATTGGGCCTTGGCCAATTTTGAATGTTTTGTGCATATATTTCGCCATTGTCTATATGCACAGTGATCGTTCATAGAGCCAATACGCTTGAACTTTGACCACAATGAATCCCGAAACTGGTACATTTGAATGAGGTCAGCTGTGATCCAATTCATATGTGCCCCTTTTACTCTCACCGTATGCAGCGGGGTATGCAAATTCCAAACTTGTATGAGTTCGGACTAAAAGAATTCAACTGCATAGTCTAGATCTGGGATAATGTTTAATCTGTGCCATGGGAGGTTCTTGATGTCATTAAGAAAGGATTCAAGATTACATTTTTTGAAGGACCTGGTGATTTTAACCTTTGGGAGAGGATTTAGTAGCTTTTATTTTGCGCACGCAGTACACTAAGCAGTGATCACTGAAAGTGTTTGGGAGAACACCTGCATCCTGGATTCTATCAGGAGAAGTGAAGAGAATCCAATCGAGCAGGGTATGGTTATGGCTTTTAATTATTATGCGAGTTGGGGGGAGGTTAATTGAATTAGCTGTAAAGTCTTAAACAGCAAGCAAGAACTATTATTTTTAGGATTCATCTAATCAATATTAAAATCTCCAAGGACTAACAGTTCACTTTTTGGGTTTTGAGCTATGGTTTCACTAAGGAAATCTATGGCAATGGCAGAGTCAGGTATTTTTGCGGTTAGCCATGATTCGGAGAGCACAATGATTTTGAGCTTGTAATATGAAGACCATGCTTGCAGTGCATCGATTTTTGGTAGTAAGCTGCAGATATTACAGTGCACAAAGGAGAGGCCTTTATTAGCTGGAAGTCTAGAAATGGAATCTGTTGGGGGTGGGGGGGGAGGGGGCTGGGTTAGACTCACATCAGTTCCAAGCACTGGCAGCCAGCAGGGGAGGGAGTGAGAAAGGACCCGGGAGCTCAGTCTACTCTTGCGAGCACGGAGCGTTGCTGGGTTTACCACGGCAACGCTCCAAATCTCGCGAGATTGAACTCTAGCCCTGGAGCTACGGGCTAGAGTTCACCTCACCACTGGGACCACCAGGGATTCCCCACCGGACTACCAGGGATCCAGAAATGTCCTCCCTCCTCCCAGTAAAGGAAAGAAGGGAGAGGGAGGACATTTATTTTATTATATAAAAAATAAAATAAAAAACAAGATTAAAAAGCCTCCCTACCCTCCTTCCCCCATACACACACTGCGCCACAAACACACACTGCCCCACAAACACTGTCCCCCAAACACACACTGCACACCCATACAGACATTGTCCCCACAGACACATACAGTGCTCCACACACACTGCTGCCCCCATACACACACTGCCCCACACACACAAACTGCCCCACACACACACTGCTGCCCCCATACACACACTGCCCCACACACACAAACTGCCCCACACACACAAACTGCCCCACACACACATACAGTGCCCCCCATACACACACTGCCCCACACGCACATACAGTGCCTCCCATACACACACTGCAAGCCTCACACACACACTGCAACTCTCACACACACTGCCCCCTCACATACACACTGCCCCCTCACATACACACTGCACCGCTCACACACACACTGCAGCTCTCTCACACATACACTGCCCCACACATACACTGCCCAATAACACACACACTGCAACCCTGACATACACTGCCGCCCTCATGCACTCACACACACACAAACACACTGCACCTTTCACACACACTTCACCCCTAACACATACCACTGCCCCTATGCCCTATATCCCAGCAGACCGCAGGTAAGTTGTCAAACTGTTCTTAAACGGTTTGACTACTTACTCTGGGATGGGATCCTGGCACTACTGGCACCATAACTACTACACTGAGCTGTAGTGGTTATTGTGCCTGGATTGTTTCTTTAAATAATCTACAAGTGACCCTCCCAAGATCAGGCTCTGGATCCGCCACTGGTTGCAAGTGCAAGTAACATGAGTAATAGGAATTTGCAGATGTCATGGACAAGCATGGTAACGTATAGTGATGTATTTAAATGAATAATTAACTTAAAGGTGCAGCAGTTTGCGAAAACCATTGCAGTTATAACAACGTGAGAGACAGACAGAGATAGCTAAACTCCTTGTAGCATAATTTGCCTCACTTTAATATTTTTGGATAAACATTTCAAATCATTGAATAATTTTGGATACACTAGTAATATGATTTACTATATTGAAAACTATTTGCTAGATTTTTTTTTTATATGATATATTTGGGAAGAATTTGACAAAATCATTTGACCGACTTACCCGATAATATTAAACTAAGGCCGTAATATGCCATGTAGCTTTGGTGCTTTTAGTATCCCTTTAATAGATCCTTTCTTTCAGGTCTCAAGTAAATTTTAAATAGTTCAGTACTTTTTCCAAGCTGATAAATTATGGACATTGATAATGTTGATCTAAAGATACAATTTCTGTTGGTTTTCTCCAAGGCTTATGTAGTTTTCAAAAAACAAAAATGTATGTACCCCACGAAGACTAAATCTTTTTTTTTTTTTAAATCATAATAGCTCCAACTATATCCCCTGGTTACAAAAACACTAGTACAATAGCAGCAGTAACTGTTGATTTAATAAAAAAATAACTTATTGCCTTTAGTGAAGTGACATTTTCTACACTTAATTGTTTTTGACCTCATAAAATTGGTCTTATGTGCGTATTGTTCAAATTATGGAGAATGTATCTTGTATTACACTTTCCTCGTATTTTTGTTTCACAGGAAACCGGTGATCATTCTGGAAATGTCAGAAGATCTCCTAAAGGCAGGAAGTGAGACTCATTTCAATTTCAAACTACATTAATTCCGAATGAAATCAAATCTATTCTCACATTTATTAAGGTAAGCTAGTCCTTGTGAAAAATTGCAGATTTTAATAGGGATATTTTCAGTGCTTCCATTCTGCTTCCACAAACTTATAAATCAGTTTCTCTCTGTCACCCATCTATAATTTATCAGTTCATGGGAGTAAATGTGACAGGTGAGAACTATTTAAGTCAACAGAGCAATAACTCTTTAAATACAATAGACACAATTCTGGACCCAAAGATGAGCTGCTTAAAGCTGATCCAAAAACTGGAAATTATGGATAAAATCAATATTTTAATGGATTTGGACTTTTTAGATGTGTTCATGGGCATCCACTTGCCCTCCCCCCCACCCCCCCCTGGATTTTTCAGCTTGTTCTGCTAATTTTCATGTGAGATTGAAAATACAGTGCAATACCGGTGCGTAGGTGGTGCTGTGTATGGAGAGAGACAGGGATAGGAAGCTGCATCTTATCCCTGCTTCTCTCTAACTGAATCCGCAGGGGAGCAACACAGAGTGCAGCCAGAGACAGTCTACAGATCAGGGAAGTGAGGCATGGGGGGGGGCGGGGAGCAACACAGAGTGCAGCCAGAGACAGTCTACAGATCAGGGAAGTGAGGCATGAGGGAGAGTAGCCTGAGGCAGATACAGAGAGAGCGGACAGTGAGAGGATCAGGACATGAAGAGCCTACAGATCAGATCAGGAAGTGAGAGGGGCATGGGGGCAGGAGGCAGAGAGAGCAGATCAGGAAGTGAGGCATGGGGGAAGAGAGCCTACAGATCAGGGAAGTGAGGCATGGGGGGCAGAAGAGCCTACAGATCAGGAAGTGAGGCATGGGGGGAGACAGAGAGCTACATATCAGGTAAGTGAGGCATGGGAGGGCAGAGAGAGCATACAGATCAGGGAAGTAAGTAAGGCACGGGGGCAGAGAGAGCCTACAGATCAGGGAAGCGAGGCATAGGGGGGCAGATATAGCCTACAGATCAGAGAAGTGAAGCATGAAGGGCAGATATAGCCTACAGATCAGGGAAGTGAGGCATGACAGAGGGCAGAGGGTAGCCTACAGATCATCAAAGAAGTGAGGCATGGGGGCAGAGATAGCCTACAGATCAGGGAAGTGAGGCATGGGGGGGCAGAGATAGCCTACAGATCAGGGAGAGTGAGGCATGGGGGGCAGAGTAGCCTACAGATCAGGGAAGTGAGGCATGGGGGGGACATGGGGAAGTGAGGCATGGGGGGCAAGCCTATAGATCCAGTCTAGAGATCAGGAAGTGAGGGGGCAGAGATAGCCAATAGATCAGGTAAGTGAGGGATGGGGGAGACAGCCTACAGGAAGGGTCAGCAAGGACCAGGAAGGTAAAGTAAGAGAAGGAGTAGAAAGGAGATGGAAGGAGCAGAAAGGAGAAGGAATATAAATGAGCAGAAAGGGGCAGCAAGGAGCTGGAAGGGACAGCAAGGAGCACAACAGGTAAAGTAGGAGAAGGAGCACAAAGCAACACAAATGAGTAGGAAGGGGCAGCAAGGAGCAGGAAGGGTCAACAAGTAGCAGGCAGGGTCAGCAAGGAGCTGGAAGGTAAAGCTGCACAAAGGTAAAGTAGAAGGAGCAGAAAGGGTCAGCAAGGAGCTGAAAATGGCAGCAAGGAGCAGGAAGGGACAGAAGGAGCACAAAGGTGAAGTAGGAGAAGGAACAGACATTAGCAGGAAGGGTCTGCAAGGGGCAGTAAGGAGTAGGAAGGTTCTGCAAGGAGAAGGAGGGGTCTGCAAAGAGCAGAAAGGGACAGAAGGAGCACAAAGGTAAAGGAGCAGAAAGAATCAGAAGGAGCACAAAGGTAAAGTAGGAGAAGGAGCAGAAAGGGTCTGCAAGGAGCAGAAAGGGATCAGAAAGAGAAAGGAGCAGAAGGGGAAGCACAATAAGCAGAAAGTAGCAGAAAGGTGAAGGAGCCAAGGAGGAGAGAAGACAGTGTCAGAAGAAAAAGAAGACTGTGTCAAATGAAGGAGAAGAAAAGGAGATTGGAGCAGGAAGGACAAGTGAAGTGAACCCTCCACTTTATTCTGGACACCACATCATAAGGCTTTGGTACCTGGGCCTGGCAGGGAAACTTTGGACCTTCTCATCTCCTCAGGTAAAAAAAAATATCAGTGTTAATGTGTTCACTTTTATTTACTGAGTGTCAGGAAGCACAGAGGGCCGCTGGGGAGGGGTGTCGCTGATTGGATAGAGCATTCAGCTGGCACTCTAAGCCAATCAGTAGCTCCCCATTCATAAAAAAGTTTAAACATTTTATGAACCGGGAACTAGCGATTGGCTTAGAGCATCAACTGACCACTCTAGCCAATCTGTAGCACCCATGCCTGACATCAATCTGCACTTCCTGACACTCCGTTTCAGAAGCTGAATACCACTGAGCGACCTGGAAATCTGGAGCTGGAGGAAGCCTTTGGGGTTAAACCATTTGAGAACCCCTAAAGGAAAGAGAGCACCCAGGGGCTTCCTGGAATCATAGCATTTCCATTTAGATGAAGTTGTTATGGTGACCAGAATGTTCCTTTAATTTTCTTAAAGTAACACTATAGTGTCAGGAATACAAACATGTATAAACAAAAACACGGACACCCGTGAGAAAAGTGATGAAGCACAACAACTTAACTGAAAAGTACACAGCTTCCCAAGGTTATTTCCCAGCTGATAACCTTATAGCAGAACAATATAATTGATAGGATATTTGGGATTCTGCTGATGTACCTACAATAGAGGACAAAACATAGTGCAAATATTGCTACACACTATAAAACCATTGATGAAAAGTATGCACTCACATATTCCAAAGAATATAAGCGTATTCAGGGTGCCTCCCCCTAAATATAAATGGGGGGGTTATTCTCCTTTAATTCTCCCTCCTCAAGTGTTAGCCGATGGAGTATCCAGGTCAGCAAGAAGATCCAAACAATTGCAACCAAAGGAATACTTGAAAGGCGATTTATTCTCTTTTAAAATTCAAGAGGTGTATAAAAATACATAAAAACAATATAAGAAAGAGATGCTGGTCCTACGCGTTTCGTCCTTATACAAAAGGACTTCCTCAGGGACCTCTTTCAGCACAAAATTCAATCACCAGAAATACAGAGAATAAAAAGTAGCATCCTAAAAACGCTAACACATGTATAACCTTATATAGGGCTAATCCCTTACAATCATTGGTGGAACAGTGGGTGTTTTTTTCCTCTTTGACTCCTATTCGTCCAACATTTCTTGTCTTCAGCTGTGTTCGCTTGATCGGAATGAAAAAAGCCGGGCTCGTTCTAAATTCGGCCACTTCCGCATACGTCATACGTTACGTTCGCGTCACGTGTTCCGTGATTGATCACATGATCATAATACGTTCCACATTCAGGAAGTGAAATGGACGTGCGTTCCACAGTGGTGGCAGCCTGGAAAACATCGTTTTTCTTTTGCCTACTAATTATACACACATAACTGGAAACAGAAAAACTAAGATGGGAACGGGCTAAATGATATACAGAAAAAATTTAAGCCCAAGTCTAAGTTTTTCCCAGTGCAGAGTAAAGGGTCTCATTTGGAGACTTTTGAGAACTTGGTTGAAAAAGATTTTGAGAAATGGGTAGGTAAGAGAAAAAGAAAAGGAGGAGATCAAGTACAAAATCTGACCAAGGGGGAGCAATTAGCATTAAATAATTTAATCTCAAGGGAGGACATTATTATAAAAGAAGCGGACAAAGGGGGAGCAATAGTCATTATGTCAGAACAATACTACCGACAAGAAGCTTCTAATATCTTGGCTGATGGTAAAACTTAGAAAAAACTTTAAAATGATCCTTCTCAGGTCTTTAATGGAGAACTAAAAACCCTTTTAGAAGAAGCTAGAAATGAAAATATTATTACAAAACGCAATTTTGAATATCTCTGGAACCCCTACCCAGTTATTCCAATTTTTTATTTTATTCCAAAAATCCATAAGAATTTAACAAGTCCTCCAGGCCGCCCAATAATAAGTGGCATTGAATCGATTACGGCAAATCTTTCTTCCTTTCTGGATTGCTATTTGCAAAAATATGCTCAAATGGCACTGTCATATACAAAGGATACAAAATCTTTTTTGCAAGAAATTGAAAATCTGGAATGGCAGGAGAACTACAGCTGGGCCACATTGGATGTGACCTCGTTGTATACGGTTATCAGTCATAATCTTGGTTTGGAGACAGTTGCTTTCTATCTAAATCAAGACAGAGACATCTCTATAGGTTTCAGGTCCTTCATCCTGTGGGGTATACAGTTCATATTAGAACACAATTATTTTCTTTTTGATCAATCGTTTTATTTGCAATTGGTGGGCACCGCCATGGGTACCAGGTTCGCCCCCAGTTATGCCAACATATACATGCGCAGGTGGGAGGACCTCTGCGTATGGTTGGGTCATGACTGGGTGGAGAACCTGGTCCTATGGCGGCGGTATATAGACGACGTGATTATTATTTGGAAGGGGTCGGACTTTGAATTTAAGACTTTTGTCAATTATTTAAATCAAAATGAGTACAATTTAAAGTTTTCTCCAGTATGGGATCGTAGAGAAATTAATTTCTTAGATCTCACCCTTTTTAGTGAGGGAAGTGAGATCAAAACCAAATGTTTCTTCAAACCAACAGATGGGAACAGCTATGTTCACAAACGTAGCTGTCACCATCAGCCTTGGTTGAAGGGGATCACTAAGGGACAGCTTACTCGAGTGAGGAGGAACTGCTCCCATACTAAGGATTTTCAGACACAGGCTCAACATGTAGCCAATAAACTAGTTAAAAAAGGCTACAACCCGAAGAAAATTAGGAGGGAAATCCAGATGATGTCTAAAAGAAGTAGAAATTAGTTTTTAATGGATGGCCTTAGTAACAAGAAAAAGGGGGAAGACTTTAAACAAGCTTTTTTCACACAATATAGTGTGGATCATCCAAGAATCAAAAGAAGTCTACAGAAATATTGGCCAATATTGTTAGAGGACCCCATTTTGGGGGAGCATTTGTCGAAAAGGCCAAAAATCATCTATAGGAAAAAACAAAATCTCAAGAACTTATTAGCACCCAGTTATGCTTTAAAAAGTGGATTTAAAAATATCAAAAAAGGGATAAAAGGCTTCCGGGGTTGTAAAAGTTGCAAAGCCTGTTCTCAAGTAAATACAGATAAGGTTACATCATATAGCAGCTCCGTTACAGGGAAACAGTTTTCTATTAAATCAGAGATTGGCTGCCGCTCGGACTGTGTTGTGTATTTGCTTCAGTGCCCATGCGGCAGCCAATATGTTGGTCGTACAAAGAGATGTCTAAAAGTGAGACTTTTGGAACATATTAACAACATAAAGAAAAAATTAGATACTCATTCAGTCCCCCTTCACTGCAATAATTGTCCCCTATTTTCTTTGAAGGGGCTACGTTGTATAGGGATAGAACAAATTCAACCCCACTGGAGAGGGGGTAATAGAGAAAAGCGATTGGCACAAAGGGAATCATATTGGATTCATAGGTTACGCAACCTTGCCCCAAGGGGATTAAATGTGGATATGGATATTGTTTGTTTTTTGAACTAATTGTTTTTTGAACTAATTGATTGTTAATGCATAAAGATACATTTAAAATTGAACATATATTACTCATGTCGCTTTATCCAAACCGAATATGACATTGAGTATATGGTTGGTCAATTATTTTTATTTCAATCACGGAACACGTGACGCGAACGTAACGTATGACGTATGCGGAAGTGGCCGAATTTAGAACGAGCCCGGCTTTTTTCATTCCGATCAAGCGAACACAGCTGAAGACAAGAAATTTTGGACGAATAGGAGTCAAAGAGGAGAAAACACCCACTGTTCCACCAATGATTGTAAGGGATTAGCCCTATATAAGGTTATACATGTGTTAGCGTTTTTAGGATGCTACTTTTTATTCTCTGTATTTCTGGTGATTGAATTTTGTGCTGAAAGAGGTCCCTGAGGAAGTCCTTTTGTATAAGGACGAAACGCGTAGGACCAGCATCTCTTTCTTATATTGTTTTTATGTATTTTTATACACCTCTTGAATTTTAAAAGAGAATAAATCGCCTTTCAAGTATTCCTTTGGTTGCAATTGTTTGGATCTTCTTGCTGACCTGGATACTCCATCGGCTAACACTTGAGGAGGGAGAATTAAAGGAGAATAACCCCCCCATTTATATTTAGGGGGAGGCACCCTGAATACGCTTATACTCTTTGGAATATGTGAGTGCATACTTTTCATCAATGGTTTTATAGTGTGTAGCAATATTTGCACTATGTTTTGTCCTCTATTGTAGGTACATCAGCAGAATCCCAAATATCCTATCAATTATATTGTTCTACAAACATGTATTCCTGACACCATAGTTGTGAAAACACTATTCACCCTGGCTTTATGTGATAATGACTATGCTCCTCCCAATCATGACACTGTCAAAAAGGGACCAAGCATGGATGTCATTACAATTATGCCCCCCCCTCTCCCTCCTGGAAAAATTCCTGCGGATGCCCATGGATGTGTTCATTTGTTAATGCAATATAATGCAAATCATTTTAGACCTCATTACAGCATCTGTCCAGTAAATGTAACTCGTCCATTGACTTTTTAAGGAAAGTCAACCAACACAATTCATTGTTAATAAACTCAAGGTGCCAATTTAAAATTGTCATTCATAACCTGTCAGCATATACAAAAATATGGGAATAAAACTACCCACTTAAAGGGACACTCAACTACTAGAGTTGAGCGGACACCTGGATGTTCGGGTGCGGCGGGTTCAGCCAAACTTTGAAAAAAAGTCCCGGTTCGGGCACGAACTTGACCCCGAACGCCATTGAAGTCAATGGGGACCCGAACTTTTGGGCACAAAAATGGCTCTAAAAAACTCCTGGAAAGGTCTAGAGGGCTGCAAAAGAAGTAAACTGGGGGTAAGAGTAGGACAAGTGCCCTGCAAACAAATGTGGATAGGGTAATCACTTAAAAA